AAAATATCATGCTCCTATACTTTCCCAAAGGACCTATCAGATACTTCCCAAGCTGACTAGGTTGAAATGTTGGAAACTGGTGAGAAAGGTTTGGCTTAGAAACAAGAATGGCCCTGAAAGGATTGTCCCTTGTGGGCAACTTGTGACAGAGGATCACTATACATAGGAAGTGTTTCCTGGATCCTAAAATTAAAAAAAAAATAGAAAAAAGAAAATTCCAAACACTGCATACTACTGTGCCAAATGTAAATAAAGTAACCTCTTTCAGAAATGTCCTTGGAAACATCCATTAGAAGAAAAGTGCCACCAAAAGTATTAGACATACATGAGTACATCTTGATAATCTGAATTCTTTTGTAAGCATGCTAAGTCAGAGAAGCACCAAATTTGGTGTCTTACTGGTGTTATATGACTGAAGGGCCTGATATTCACTCAACAAAACCTGCCTTATTTGGTGTCAATCAAGCTCTCTTTCAGAAGAGTCACTAAAACAATTTCCTTAACTCAGAAAAAATAATGCTGACAGCAAAGTGTCAGGCAATGAAATTCTAAGGATTGCTATCCTCCAATCACAGAACGAGTGCCACATCAACCTCTGGCCTTTCTTATAACAACTGAGTTTAATTGTGAAGACAGAGCTTGCTTCTTGTGCCCTTTCCTAATTCTTCCAGCTGCTAAACCACCTGTCTCTCTGAAATTACATGGGTACATGTCTCCCCAGACAGAATGCAAGCCGCTTGAGGGTCAAGATTGTATCATTTTTGCTTTGTACCTCCACTGCCTAACACAGTGGCCAGCACATATTAGACACAATAAATTAATTAATAAATTAATTATTAATTCTATATTAATATATAAATTATAAGTTAATAACTTAGATACAATAAAAATACAATAAATGAATTACCATTCTTTTTAGACATAATCTACTTTGATGTCAAAAACTCCCAGAGCCCAAATGAAGAGAAAAATAATTTTAAGTATACTGAAACAAGATGAACAAATTTCCATGGGAGCTCAAAATTGCTTTCTTGAAAAGTATATAATAACCAACTCACTCCAGATCACTGGAAAAAATAAGCCACACACTTTCTATATTCTTTTCATCATAGATGAAAACCAGCAAATATGGCAAAGCAGGAGAAAGCAGTAAAGCCCAGCTCTCCCCCACAACTACTCAAACACAGACCTAAAAAAATATGTAATACTGAGGAGTGATAGGGAAATCCAAGGAGTGAGTCATTCTTCCAGGCCAGGTCAGCATAAGGAATCAGAGGGGGACAGTCTAGCCAGGAAGGTGCCAGTTCAGGCCTCGAAGGAGACCCACGGATGTGTACAAGAGCAAAAAGGGGTCAAAGATCCAGCCGAGATGGACTTAAAGTTGTTCTGGGAGCAGAAACAGGAACCAAAGAGCAACCCTGTTGATTCAGTCCCATCACTGGGTCAGTAAGGACTGAGGAAGGTATCTGCGTGCAGGGGTGGCATGGAAGGGTTGTATGCCTGAACTGGGCAAGGACAGGAGCAAGAGGCAGCTGTGTGGCTATGACCTTGGAGCAGGGACTCCGATTCAGCTCCCACCCTGGTCTGAGGCCCGCAGCTAAGTAACCACAGCAGACAGCAGGGACCAAAGGGAGCCAGCAGTTCAGTTCTTCTAAACCTACAGAGCTTTCCAAATAGCTGAAAAGAGAGGAAAAGTCTAGTGGAGCACAGCAGGAGCAAGCCTACAGTTCTGTTGTCCTGACACAAACCGGGGACAGGAGCTTGAAAAGCTCAGACCAAGAAGTAAAGGAGCAATGAGACTTCCTAGATTAGATCACTTTGGGAGCGCTGAATATTTGCAGGTCCCAGGCCTGAGCCACTCTTGAGATACCCTAAAGAACAAAGCATCCAATACCCAGAGAAAGTGGCAGCAGGAATTGCTGCTTAGACATTCTCTCCGGAAGTTCACAGAGCCTGGCCCTAACACAGTAAGGCTGGAAGGATGAGTAAACAAACAAACAAACAAACAAAGACTGGACAAAAGGACACCCATCACACAAATCCATAAAAAGAGAATGACTACAAATTATCCACAAGAAAAGCCTCAAATTAAAATATTGGCCACAAGGTCAACTAAAATTCCTGGAGGAAATAAAGCAAGAGCTAAAAAAGAAAAGTTAAATGATTTTACAAATGAAATGAAGGTGCTAGAGGAAAGAATTGGAAAAGAAACGAGATTTGGAGGAAAGACTTGGAAGGAGAATTAATAGCTTAGCACAAAAGGTAAAAAACCTTACCCAAGGAACACTTTTAAATATTTGAATGGATTAATTAGAAGTTAATGACTCTATGAGACAACAGGAAATATTAAAACAAAATCAAGAGATGAGACAAGCCAAGAAGAGAAAATAGTATCTCATTTTAAAAAGAAAGGATTCGGTTCCTGTTAAAAACAGAGATGTTGATCAGTGGAATGAATTGGGTAAACCATAGTGAGGCAACTGAACCTAGTAATCTATAGGTGAAGTCTAAGCAATGACTATTTTCCTCCTTACTGCCTGTGGATAGACTCACATTCAGCAAGTTATCTCCACAAGGGTAAAAAAGCTACATATTCACCATCTCCACTTAAAATGACAGCAGTTCTGATGCAAAGGCGCAAAGGCAGATAAGCTAGTAGACAATGAAGAGAACAGGTGGGTAGAAAAACATGGCCTGACAGGCTCCCCTATACTGTGATTTTTTTCTGTTATTGGAGAAGTTAGGCTTAGAAGTGGAGCCAACCACCCATGACGTCAACATCTGATCCCCGACCAGTCAACTTAGCTCTACAAGTAGCAAGTAGATGGAGTTCTCCTATCAAGCTATGGACAGAAAAGAGAAGATAGTTGTAGGTAGGACTTCACAACCTGCCTGAACAACAGTTGCTCAGTTGAAAAAATGTGAAAACCTTCTATTAATGGAACATATACTTTTATTATAGGAGAAAATTCCCACATCCTGCTTATGTGAACTAAACTGTCTAGAGTTTTAAGTTAAAAGAGGAGGAAGTGATTAAATGAAAGTGGAAAGGGGTGGAAAACAGGGAAATGGCATCAAGAGGAAAGAAATATAGGAGGAAAAGAAATTATATTTCAACTCGATTCTAGAATAAACTGTCCAATCAAAAGCACAGGCTTTGGGGAGAAAGTAAAGGTGGCATACAAAGGCAGCACAGATACACCTGGATATTTACCGTATCAAATTCCAATACTTCCATACTACTCCTTTCTCATGTACATGCCAACCATCTGATCTATGAACCTATTCAGACTCTTTCTTTGAGTTGCCCCACCAAAAAAAAAAAAAAAATCAGGAAAATTGTCCCAACAAAAAGAGCTGAGTAGTGTTCCAGAGACGTGACAAAGTGGTGTGCCTAATCTCAAAGCCAGTGTATGTTTTGTACGGGAAAATGTAGACCAGCTGTAACGTTCTGTCTCCTTCTAGGGTGAAGTTACACCACAACCCATCTAAAGATAGTTCAGTGATTGTACGTTTTCAGGGAAGCACAGAATTAAGCCCTGCCTAAGCAAGCTAAATAGGGCCATGGGGTGTGAGTGACTGAGGCTGTGGGGATGGCTTCAGAGTTTCCTTTCACATGACAAATCGAAGCCCTGGCTGCTCAAGACAGATAAATATAGCCCAGTTTCACCACAACAATTCCATGGACTGGGAACAAAGGTATGACAAGCCTATGTTCCACCAACAATTCCTCCTGCAAAACATGCCACAGCTCAGATTACTGAACTGGTTTGATTTATTGGGTAGAAACTTTGAGATGTTTGATAAGGCCCATGCTAACAGACTTTTAAAGACAACTATATAAGGAATGGTAAATTGTAAGACTAGATTCTGAGTACCTTCCCTGAAGTAATCATTTTGCCCCTGCACCAAGACAACCTAATGAAATCAAAATATAAAAGCTAGTTCATGTATGTAGAGGCTCCAGGAATGATTACCATGGACTTCTCATGGAAGAGAGTGTCCAAGGGCACTATGTGAAAAGAACATCATCTGATGAACATTTGCCACAAGAAGCCCTAACCCACTTGGACTAAAAGTTCTTTAAGCAAATCCTTCCCAGGTTAACTTACTTGTTTTAGGAGGCTAGACACAGAGAACTTCCCCATTAACTACTGTCCTCAATGTCTTGCTTTGTGGATAAAGACCTTGAGAAAGATGTCTACTGAGAGGTACTCAAGTGTTCCTCACTCTCTTCTAAACTCTCTGCAGTCTGGTTTCAATTCAAACTGCTCTCCCCAAAGTTACCAATGATCTCTTAATTGCCAAGTCTAATGGATTTTTCTTAGTTCTCATTCTTCTCGACCTCTACGATCACTTTCTTCTCTTGGATACTCTCTCATCTCTAGGTTGTGACATTGATCTTTCCTGGTTGTCCCTACCTGTCTGACCACTCCTTATCAGCTTCCTTTGCTGGACCTTCCGCACCATCCCCACTAACTGTGATTGTCTTCCAAGGCTTTGACCTGGACTCTCTTCTATACTTTGTCATTACAGCAGTCTAGCAAAGCCTGCAGACTAATCTTTTAAAAAAATATTATTAATTTTTCCTCCTAAAGATTGAGTCTCCCTATCTCACTATGACTAGAAATGGAAGAGCTATTCTTGGGCATGATACTGCTACTGATTAACGCGAGCTTTGACTCGCTCCTTTTCCAACCTGGGCTAGTTTACTCCTTCTCAGGCAACCTGGTTGCCTTTCATTCTCAGGGGCTCAGTGCATTGATGCCAAACTTAGTAAGGACATTGGGTCAACCGGGCCCTCTGAAGGTCAGAATTCCTGAGCTCAACAGATCTGTCAGACTCAGCCTCCCTGGGGGCTGGAATTGTAGACGTGTACCACTATGCCCAGCATTAATACTTTTTAAAATGTATAATATAAAACACCTAAGATTACAAAGTAAACAAATTATACCAAAATACAACTATCAAAATAATTTTTAAAAACCAGGTTTACATACCCCAGGATAAGAACCCCTGCCTTTATACTGTCTTGATTGGTGATCACATCAGCTCTGATGAGTTCAATTACCATCTCCTAAGCTTCCCATTTTCTTCCTTGAATGAGTGAAAAAGCCTTTATTAAGAACTTTGCCAAGTGCTTTGCTAACAAACTCCCTAAAAGTTAGAATAGACCAAATTAAAGTTATGATTTGAGAAGACCACAAGAATTATTTAAAAACAAAGTTGAAAGACTGAGAAAATAGAGGAAAATGTAAAGTATCTCAAATCAAAAACAAATTACCTGGAAAACAAATGAAGGGACAAAAACTTAAGAACCATGGATTCCCTGAAATCTCTAACAACAAGAAGGACAAAAAAAGAATCTGGATATCATATTTCAAGAAATCAGTAAAGAAAACTGCCTAGACATACTGTTACATAAGGATAATATGAAAATAGAAAGACTCCATTGATTATTTCCTGAAAGGAACCCCTAGAATGAAAACTCTCAGGAATGTTATTGCCAAAATTAAGAACTTCTAGATAAAAGAAAAAATAACAAATACTGAGAAACCACAGTCAGGATCATACAAGATTTATTGGCCTCTACTAAAAAGAGGGGATATCATGGAGTGAGATATTCCAAAACGCAAAAGATAAAAGTCTACAACCAAGAGTAACTTGCCAAAAGAAACTAAGTATAATCTTACACGGAAAAAAAATTGGATCGTCAATGAAATTGAGAACTTTCAAATGTTCTTGATATAAAAAAAAAAAGCTGGAAAGGAACTGTGAAATATAAATGCAGGAGTTGAGAAAAATAAAATAAATACAAGTAATAATTGGAAAGGACTCTATAGGGATGAACTGTTTACATTCTAAAGGGAGGAAGGGAACTAAAAAGTATCCCTTTAGAATCCTAACATCATAAGGGGTCACAGAGGTATTCAAATGAGATAGAATACCAAAAGTATTCAATCTCCAAGATCAAAACTCAGAAAGCCCTGTATTATGTCATAACCTCCTAGCATTCCATCTCTCCCTATGCCTTATCCCTTCTAAACCTATTCTTTGTCTGCCTTGGGATGTCCAATCCCTTCATCCTTTAGTATCTCTCAATACACCACCCTCTCCTTCCTTTCCATTCTCAAAGTTAACTAGTTTAAATCTACATTGTCAAACCCCAACCATCTCTCTCCTTGCCTCCTACTCATGTGCTAGTGATTAGAGCTGGAGGAAATCTCTCAAGGAAGCCAACTAGGTCCACTGCAAAATTATTCTCTAATCTCATTTGCACCTTTGCAACAGGAAGAAAATCCTTTTATCCTCAATGATTCTCTATCCCACACTCTACCAAGTCTTTTTCAAATCTTTGCTCTTCTTATACCTCTCACACCATTTCCTTCAGTCCTTTGAGGCTAGAAGGCTACTACTCAAACTCCAGTGGCTTCTTATTGCCTCTAAGACAAAATGCAAACTCTTCTGTTTAGTTTTTAATGCCATTTACAGCTTAGTTCTGGGGGCAGCGAGGTGGCACAGGCAGTAGGCCTGGAGTTAGGAAGACTCATCTTTTCCAGTTCAAAGCTGGCCTCAAATACGCAGTAGCTGTGTGACCCTGGACAAATCACTTAACTCTGTTTGCCTCAGTTTCCTCATCTGCAAAATGAACTGGAGGAGGAAATGGCAAACCATTCCAGTATCTCTGCCAAGAAATCCCCAAAAGAGGTCATGGAGTTGGACATGACTGAAAAACAACAACAAACAGTTTGGTCCCAATATATCTCTGCAGCCTCATTACACATTATTCCCCTTCCCAAAGTCCATGTTCTAGTCAAATTGCCTATCTTCTTGTTCCTCGCCCTTGACGCTCTGTGCTTCTTTCAAATGGCTGCTCCCCATGCCTAGAATGTTCCATACTGTCCTCATCTCCACCTCCTAGGGTAACTTCCTTCAAGATTCAGATTGTGGCTCAGGTGAAAGGTAGTGTGTACCACTTTCTATCCAATCCCTTTCCCGAGGTGTTTCATCCCCAACTGCTAGTATCCTTTCACTAAGGCTTTTATTTAACTACCTTGTATTTATGTTTTCCCCCATAAAATGTATGCTTCTTGAGGACAAAAACTATTTCAGTTTGTCTTTGTCTAGAACAAGCAGCTAGCAAAGAATAGGTACTTAATGTTTGTTGATTGATCTCTGAGAGGACCTTGCCCTTTACTTAGAAAAAGGAGACTATATCCTGTGAACTCCATTTCTTCTCATTCTGGAAGTCTCAAAACCACTTGATCAAAGGACCAGATCTCAAACTACACTGCAAAAACCAGTAATCTTCAAAATGACTTGGTACTGAGGGCAGCTAGGTAGCAAAGTAGATAGAACTCCGGCCTTGGAGTCAGTAGGACCCGAGTTCAAATCTGGCCTCAGACACTTGACACTTACTAGCTGTGTAACCCTGGGCAAGTCACTCAACCCCAACTGCCTCATCAAAAAGCAAAAAATAATTTAAAAAAAAAAGGCTTGGTACTGATAAGAAATAGAGAGACTGATCAATGGGAGAGGTTAATAATAATAACAATAAAAGTTGACATTTTTATAGCACCTATTACATTCTGGGTACTGGGCTAAGACCGTTCCAAATATGAGGCACACAATATATAAAATTTTTTTTAAAAAAGCATAGTAGCCTAGTGTTTGATAAACCTAAAGATTCCAACTATTAGGATAAGAACTCATTAATTCAACCAAAAATGTTGGGAAAATTGGAAAGCAATCTGGTAGAAATGAGGCTTAGACCAACAACTCACACCATATGACAAGATAAGCTATAAACAGGTAAATGACTTAAGACATAAAGAATGATATCATAAACAAATTAGAAGAGCCAGGAAGAAATAACCTGTGGATAGGAAAAAAAAAATTCATGACCAAACAAGCTCACAGAAGGTAAAATGGACAATTTTGATTACATAAAATTTAAGTTTCTGTACAAACAAGACCAATCAAGTGAAAATTAGAAAAGAAGCAGGTAAATTTAGGGGGGGAACCCCAAAACTTTGCAGCAAATTTCTCTGACAAAGATCTCATTTCTAAGATCTATAAAGAACTGATTCAAATTTATAAGAATAAGAACTTCCCATTGATAAAAGGTCAAAGAATATAAATAGGTACTTAAAAAAATCCTACCTATCAATAGCCATATAAAAATGCTCTAAAACACTATTAGAGAAATACAAAATTAAAACAACTCTGGGGTTCCGCCTCATACCCATCACATTGGCAAAGTTAACAAAAAAGAAAAATGACCAATGATGGAGGGGCTGTAGGGAAAGAAGCACCTTACCATACTGTTGGTGGAACTGAGAACTGGTCCAACCATTACAGAGAGCAATTTGGAACCATGCCGCTAAAGTTATTAAACTGTATGTACCCTTTGAATCACTGATAACACCACCAAGCCTATATCTTAAAGAGATCAAAGAAGAAAAGAACACACATGTACAAAAATATTTATAGCATCTTCTGGGATGACAAAGCCATTAATTGGGTACTAGCTGAACAAATTATGGTATATGAATGTAATAGAATACTACTTTCCTCAACCATGAAGAAATGATGAAGGGAACAGTTTCAGAAAAACCTGGGTAAACTTGTATGAACTTATCCTTACATTGAGCTTAAATTTACTTTTTTTTGCAACTTTAACCCATTGTTTCTTTTTTTCTTTGTTTGTTTTTTGCCTTTTTGGTGAGGCAATCTGGATTAAGTGACTTGCCCAGGGTCACACAGCTAGGAAGTGTCAAGTGTCTGAGGCTGGATTTGAACTCATGTCCTCCTCCTAACTCCAAGGCCAGAGCTCTATCCACTTCGACACCTAGCTGCCCTAAACCATTGTTTCTAGTTTAGCTTGGCCCCAGAGGGTAAAACAGATAGGTTTAATCTGTCATCCAAGTGATAGCCCATTTTCCACTGCAGTATGGAGTTCCCATGGATTACAGGATTCAATGTAAGGCAGTTTACCTTAATTATGGCTGAACTCCCTACCCCACTGTGAAAATGGAGCACTCTAAAGTTATCAACTTGTTAACAAAAAATCTAGATAAGCCAGAATTTTAAAAACGTATCAGAAAAGGAAGATGAAACCAACATTAGAAACCTCAATAACTACTTCCCAAATAAACAAATTCCTGGTCTCCTCTTACACAGATCAGTCCAAATACGGGCCTCTTTTATCCAGGTTTTTGTCTTCAAACTAGGGAAACAGCAAAAGTTTTAATTCTGTTTCTTCCCAGGCCAGCAGCTTCTTTTGTAGTCTGCTCTGTTCTAATTCTAATTGGTTCCAAGAATCAGGCCCTCCCGATCTTCCTCCACCCTGCTTTTCTTCCATCCTCTATCTCTTCAATTTGACAATACCTCATTCCAGAGAGAATAGCTTCCACAAAAGTTGAAATGCTCCACCTCCTGTAATGACATCCAACTCTTGGGGGTCTGAGGTCTTACAGAAAACACAGTTCCTGACGTAACTAGTCAGTATTGTGTGTGATGCACAGTGCAATGCAAATTCCCCTTCTTTTGACTTCTAACAAACTCGAACATAGCTTTTATGTCACTTTCCCTAATTTTTTTTTCCCCTCTCCAGTTCTTTCAACTAATCCTTTCATGGCATGACCTCAAAGTCCTTTACAATTCTGGTTATCCTCCCTTCTAATACTTTCCAGCTTACCAATTTCCTTCCTAAAATGTAGCATCCAGAGCATACAATAACAGACTATATATTATCTAATCAGGACTCAATCAAGAAGCACTTATTATAGACTGAGCCTTGTGCTGGGTACCATGGACACAAATACAAAACTGGGACAGCAAACTGATTAAAAGCAGGGACATTCTATTATAACTTCCTCTCATTCATGATGCTACTTCTCTTAAGGCAATCTAAGAGTATATTAATGTTTTGGTTTTTTTTTGACTGACGAAGAATAAGTGTACACACTCATGCTAAAGTTGTAGTCCACTAGGACCGGCCTAGATCAGTTTTAGATAAACTGCTATCTAGCCCCAGTT